ACCTCCAGGCTGGCAGAGCTCAGGGCAGACGCCCGCGCTCCCGGGAGTCACTCCCACTGCGTGACTGTGTCCCTGCAGGGGGTCCCGGCCTCCAGTCCCTGTCGCTGTCCCCGTCCCGCCATGACTGGGCCTGGTCTGGGCCGCTCACCCGCTCGCGGCCGCGCAGGCGCACTCCGCAGACGCAGCTGCCGGGCTCCCGAGGTCCGCGGTTCTGGCCCAGCTGCGCTGGACTCGGGCTTTAAGGCCCCAGGCGGCCGGCCCCGCCCCCTTAGCCCTCCTGCGCTTCCATTGGCTGACCCGGCCGCTGGGCGGGGCCCCACGGCCTTCTGACCCAGAATGTGACTCAGCCGAGTCCCTACCTGTGCCAGGGCGGGGCGTGTCTGCCTCAGTGGGCCCGGGGGGAGGGGCGGCGCAGGGGAGGGGCGCGAGAACTGAGTGTTCGGCTTAACGAGCTGGGCGCGCGGTTCGAGTGAAGAAGTTTGCAGCGAGCGCGGTGTGCGTTCTCAGCCTGGCCCTAGAGTTTTTGGTTAAAATGTCCCGCAGGGCCGCGAGCGCGTAGACGCGAGTCTAGCGAGTCCTGTTTGCTGCGCAGCAAGGGTGGAGCCGCGCGGGGGAATGCAGAGCCCGCGGGCAGGAGCATTATCTCCCTGTTTCGAGGTGGCGTGCGGTTGGCTTCTGGAAGAATCTGATAGGGAAAGGCACCCTAGCAGTGGTCAAGACCAAACCCCAGGAGGGAAGGGGGCTTAGATTGTCCGGAGCCCACGTGGGGTTTTGTAATGCAGACTTTCCAGTGTCCTCCGTTCAGGGATTCTTCCCCCACCTCCTTCGCAAAAGAGGGAATGAGGTGTTTACGGAGATGCTCCGTTGATAAAAAGGAAAAAAGCGGTTGAGAATATTGGCAACTGCTATTATTCCCCCACTCTCTGGGTTGTGGATTATGATACCTTCTTTGATAACAAAAATGCTTCTCTTGAGATTTAAAAAATGTAATGATACTTAATGTCGGGATTAAAGTACAAAATGTATGGGGAACGTTTTAGATAGAGGAAAAAGGATACATCTTTATGTAAGGTAGATATTAATTTATGTAATTAAGGATTTAAGGAACACAACCCAGAAACATTCTAAAGCTTTGTCATTTTTTATTACATAAAAAAAATTCATTTTAAAAAAATAACTTTTAGGGGAAAAATTCATTACCTCATGCTCTTTCCCCCATAACCTTTTTCTACACACATTTTGATCACTTTGTTAAAAATGAAGTCATACCATTTATTTGTAAACTTATTTCTACTTAAGATTAAATTGATAGCCCTTCTAGAAGTACAATCACACTTATAATTTTTTAATTGGGATAAAATATACACATCATAACATTTTAGCCATTTGAGGTGAATAGTTCAGTGGCATTAGGTACATT